AGCGTGTTATGCGTATGTCTCAAATTAACTTTTATGCTGAGAAAATAGTAGGAATGATGGCTCATTAGAGTTGAAAAACAAAAACTTTTAAAATGTTCCTCCTATTTTCTGGAGGAAATGAAATACGCCCTAGGGTACGAAATTTCCCCTCAACTACTACCTTTTCTAGTGACAGGATCACCAAAAATATGCTCACGTGTCGTTAAAAAAGGCTGAATGAGGAAAGACCGCGGGAGTAGGACATTTCTTTATTTAAATTAAATTTTCAATGCAAAAGGAGGTGACTATTTCAATGCTATCTAAAAGACATTGATCTCTGCGATTAGTTGTTAAATTGTACACCATTGAATGAGGGGAAGGGCTGAAGGATAGCCTGCAGGAATCTACATTATTTTGTGAGCTGGTTACACATGAGTCCCTTTCTTTTTCACCAGAGAGCTAGCCAAGACTCTGGATATGTGTGTTTTCGCGCACCTTCTTCTGGGCGATGCGTACCTTCGGGTGGAGCATCCGGAACTAGCAATCGAGGTGTATGAGTCAGTATTGAGATGGGAACCAGGCGACCTACGAGTGGTTAGTAAAATGGGAGAAGCATTGGTCATGACGCATGAATTCGAGCGGGCGGTACTCTACTACGAGTCGGCACTTCAACGCGACACACTGTTTGGTCACAGTCCGCTCCTGCCTGACCTCACGCTCCTTCTTATAAGATTGAAACAACTGGATAGAGCGGAGGCGTTTCTCAATGCTGGTTTGGCGAGCACTAAAACCTGTAGGTTGTGGTGATATTTGATTTTTAAGTTGAGCGTCTGCTCTTGCGCCAAGAATAGAGAAAAATACACATATTCATTCACACATTATAATCAGTATGGCAAAGGCACCAAAAAATTCCCTATACCGTATAAAAACGTCAACTCAGGGAGACCGATGAGCCCTCTAATTTGGATGCACAATAAATATTAAATCTCTAAATATCGACTAATGCTGATCCACTTTTTAGGAATGCAGGTCTACCATTTATAAATTCGTCTGCTTTAGTCTATGTCAATGTATTTTTAGCTTGTACAGAAGTCCTAACTCTCGGTGCCATTTATTAAGTTTACTAATCGCAGGAGCAGATCCTGGTTTCTCCCACCAGCCTCCAAACCACAAATTAGTGTTAACATTTATCAATTATGCGTTAAAAATTGCACATTTGTGAGCCTAACTTGGAACGCGTACCAATTTTAGCCGATACTCCATTCTTGATGTAATCGTCAATTATTCAGAAAAAGGAGATTTTTTTTGCAACAGAGGATCTAAGCTATGAGGACAACCTTTAGTTGCAATCCATTTGCCCTCTGGTTTAAGCTACTGCGATAAACTGCACCATTACTGAAATAAACAAGGCTTCTGACCTTAGAGCTTTAGTTACGAAATTCATGATGTCACACATACTTGGTGCTTTTGAGAATGCCTTTAATTGTCCACCAATGCATCATTGTTTTGCTTGCTGTTAAGATCACACCGTTCTGTTCACAGCTTATTCATGTTTCCATGGATAGTCAGTTGGTGGTTTGCCGAAACCGCGCAATTACGAAAACCCATTACCGTTGTACAGAAATAGAGCGTTTACGATACCCTGGATACGGATAAGCGCTATCCAAAGTGCCTAATTGCCTTCTGTAGGGATGCATATTTAAATACCTAAAGATTGGGATTTCAATGCGCATTCAGAGGACATAGAGCCACACCGAAAAGAAGGTAAATAATTGCTTAACAGCCATGGCAATAAATGGGAGAAAGGTTAGTGGATAAACCACTGAAGTTAGCGTGAATTCATGTGCAACCCATCCATAGGCTACTTAAAAGCACACCCACACGCCAGGCAGTTAAAGAATAAGTGGTTTATTTTCGTTGATTATATTTGGTGCGAACGCTCAAAGAGGATGAAACTTTTTCAGACAAAAAAACCAATTTTTTAATACATTTTGCCTACTTACGCCTTTTGCGATTCTTGTAAGCATGGACTGTTTGAAGATTGTGGTTGAATAGATTTCGTGCGCTGTTAAGGACAAAATCAGGAGAACCCAGCATGCTTTTTCTGATTCTTGAACTTTGAGCCTTTCTTGAAGTCGAATGAAGGTATCATATTGTGGTAGAGCATGCATTACTGATGTCGAGAGTGGATGGAGTGGATGACACGAGGGTAATGTCCTAAGTGGGAGTTGGAGTGAAGGGAGGAAATGTGTTATCCATCTCTAATATCTGTCAACATTTGCTAAAACACTTCATTCTCGATTTACTGCTTTCCAGCCAAATACAGCTTGGTTGGAATCATCCCGCAGGTGGGGGTGACAGATTGTTTACTTCCAGTGCCTTTCGCATTGTTAACAGACCTTCTTCAAAACATAAGACAGGTTTTTTCCACTGGTTCTTCTACACGCAGTACTCACCCTGCATCAGATATTAGAGTGGATGTCCTTTGTGATTGGATTCAGGATTGACTGTCATTAATGCAGGAGTTAGTCATTACGAATGTGCCGATTTTGTAGAGAGGGGCTGCCACACCGTGGCTTAAGTCGCCTCAAGATCAAAAATGAGAAAGTGGCCAAGTGGCCAGTACATTAACATTTTGAAGGGAAGGCTTGGCTCATCTCCATTCCACCCTGCACCTTTTATTTATCTCTTTGATACGACAAATCACGGCACTTCTAGGACTCATTTTCTAATTTCGTTGATTGTTTTTGTCACGATTTTAACTTGTAACAGAAGTGGGGTTGTGTAAATGAGGCAAAAAGACACCGGACATGCCTCCTAATGCAAAGCAAATTTTTTGACTTTAACGATTCTACCACCTCTAGGGTCAGTGTAGTGTATGCCAGTTTGGAATTACGAGGGCGTGAGAGTTTGATAAAATACAAGGCCTAAAGTGGAGTTCGCTTATAGAGGTTCAACAGTGAAATAATGAAAGGATCCACATGACCGTAAATGTGCATCGTTATTTTACTTAATGCTGGCAAGTATGAAGTCAAAAATGCGTGACGATGGCTATATGACCAAAGTCATAGAAGAATCTGCTTGATGCCACGAAACAATGTAAAACGTGTGTAAGATGTTTTTATTTAGGGAAGGTGAGAACAGAATGCTATAAACACCTGTCACAATAGACGATTAGTTAAATAGCTTAGGTGGTCGATTTGCCTTTAAAAATCCGTTTTCAAAACACAACACGGCACTCACGTCCTGACAAGAATTACCTTCGGAACACACCTTTTAATTAATGGGTCAAAAGAATCACGCAAGGAGGAAAGTGGGAAGAAGAAGAACAATTGTTAAGTTCTACCTGGTTTTGCATGTTATTACATCGGTTTTGTGTCAGTACACGCTGGACTGAGTCCAAGTGAGGGGCAAGGGAAGGTGGGGAGGACCCCAGGCAGACCATGGGATGGCATTCCAGGCTTTGGTATGTGCTGCAAATTGCGCTAAAAAGGTGGCCCTTTTTTAGCTCCCTTAGTGTGTATCTCTCCCCACAATTCCTCGCCCTGTGTACCCATTCATGTGTGGGTGGGTTTGTTTGTTTGTGTGCATGCCACGTACCAACCATCCGTCTTTAAGGTAGTGAAGGAACACTGTCTTCATTATTTGCCTCTTGTCTTTGTGTTTCTAATTTTTTTACTGGAAATAGGGGCAATCATTTACTCATTTATTTCGATCGTACCTTTAGTTTTGTCAGAGAGGGCAATGATAAATGTCTCTCATAGGAGCATTTGGAAGATGCGTAGTCAGAGTAATTTGGCGGTTTGTAATAGCTGTAGGTATTAATCGTTATCGGTGCCAATTGAGAATGACTTTGCCTTAAAGATTGATTGAAGTAGGATAATCTGGTTTGTTATGCCTCAAAACATTTCCATCACTTACGGATTGTATTAATGGCTGTCACTTTTCATGCACTTCTCCTTCATTTTGTTCTGTTTCAAATGTTTCGTCGACCACTTTATGCGTCCATATGGACACAATCATAACACATGATCGGTAGCTTCGTCTCAGGAGATAACCTACAAGGCAAGAAAAGAAAAATTTCAGCTGTCTTTTGTTTTCATGTTGTAAGTGGCAAATACGACCTTACTGCCTCCGTCTTCTACAGCCTTCACTAAATCATTCCGTAGGTTTGACCCAAAAACACGCACAGGTCTTTGTGATCAGGGCTGTTACGTTCTCTGACATGATATATTTGTTTTGAGTGACTCATCACCAGGGCATTTTTGTTTAATCAGTCGATTTGAAGGCAAATCGTTTTGCTAGCACCTTCCTTTGCCTACTCTAAAGGCTAGGCGACAAAAGCTGTGCAAGAACCTGGGTCAGGATGAATTCCTTCACCCGATGTTTTGTGATAGGGGATTCCGAAATAATGGGCCCGCGTTTTACTAGTCCCTACAAACGCCGTTAAGTCCTTAAGGAAAGTTAGATTAAAAAATATCAAAATGAAGAGATATGGACGAGAAGGAAGAATTAAGATCAATGCAAGTGGTGTCAAGACTACTCATGGTTTTTCATAACTTCAGTTACAGATATTCCAGACCTTCAAAAATCTACAGATCTACTAATTCTTCTTGGCACAGTACATCATTTCCAAGGGGACTATTCAAGACAGCTTGCGGCACTCGGGCAAGCCAGTAAGGTCATAGGTGACATTCAAAAACGCGTAACCGCTGAAGAGCCGTCAGATATAGCGGTCGCCTGTCGAAAGCTCCTGATCAGGCAAGTTTAACCTTTCTAGGTAATATCGGAAACATTTCATGCATATTCCCTTTTACCATCCAAAGCCACAGCCACATGCGTTATCACATTAACACACCATGTGAAAAATTACGCAACCTCTATTCTTTTTTGTGAAGACATAAGTGCGTACCCAGCATTGGCATGGAAGCTCATCGGTCAAAAAGCATCTAATTGCAAGGCCAAAAAAACATCGACAAGATGGCTATTTTTGTATCTTTCCTTTATATGGCAAAAAAGTAGAGACATGAAAAAACAACTGTTTCTTGAATTCCAAAAAGTGTGCGTGCTGAGATATTCTGCTTCTCGATGAAAATAATTCATTATGTCATTCAAAATGGGCAATAGGTTTGACAGTCAAAAGGAATTTTTATGAATATTTCTTTTTGTTTGCTTTAAGTGTTCAGATCCATACAGTGGATACCCTTTTAAGGATTTACAAGAAGTCACAAGGCATTGTACAGACGAATTACACAGGTTCAGACCGTGAGACATCCACTAAGTCAAATCCAGATGGTGAAGAAGATGATCTTGTAACAGCCAATGATGTCACAAAATTGACTCGCGGAGGTTCAGGCTCCTCGAGGGAATTGGAGAAAGCCATTGCCACCTGTGAGGAAGCCATACGTGGAGTTGAGACAATCCACTCACCCAGCATCACTGACCGTCTAAAACAGGCTGCTTTGCTGTCTCTATTGGCCCGTTGTCATTTGGCTAATCAAGACAGAGCTCACTGTGAACAAATTTGTTTGAAGTTGGCTGTCTGTCAGGTGGATCTTCCCTTCCAAAAGATCTCGAAGTATCTTGTTTTGTGAAACCATTTAGTCCTCCTTTTATTCACGCCTTTTTAGGAGGAGCTTCAAGCGGTAAATGAGGACATAGCGTTCTTTGATTTCAACATACCCGTTGAACTTTTTTTCCCAATGGTAGCCGACAGAAATGCATCGAAGGTGTCGGAGATGAGCACATTTCCCTTGAGAAGATGTTCAGCAACGTTTGAATTTGTTCCAACAGCTATCATAATGGCTAATTTGCTGACACACGAGTGTGACTTTGTGGGTGTTTTGCCGCACCTGCTTAAACACTTGAATGAAGTACCAAGTAAGTTTTCTTACTCAGTAGGATGCTTAGCGCACAAATTTTACACTTTTAATCCAATGCAGCCTATAAAACTAATTTGGTTATGTACTGAAAGGTATCAATTGCCACCGATCTGCTGGCACCATGTCTTTTGATGTACAGTCTTTCATATCTCAAAGTGCTCTTTCAGTTTGTTCCCCTCATAAGAATATTTTGGGTATACACTGGATGAAGATGCTTTCGTGTTTACCAAGTTGTGGGATATGGGTAGTGTGATAAGTAAAAGCCTATGAGAATGAGTTGCACCAACATACCATGAAAATACCCTTCAAAGTAATGCAAGGTGGTTTTACCCTTTTGCCGTTTAGTGGGCATCCAAACGTTGCATTTATCATTTCCAAGGTACTACTTTGTTCTCATCAATTTTTTTTTTGCAAAAGCATAATCTCCTGCTAGTGCATGCCTTAATAGTGAGAGGATTTGGAAACTGGCATGGAGGATGCTTTTGTCTTTATATTTCCCAAATGATATTTCACCAAGCCCTAATTTATGTCCATAACCTTTTTACACTAACATTAGGCATTCATATGATCATATGTGAAACAGAAAGGACAGTTGGGAAATAAATGTGAGAGAGTAATCCAAGTGGATTGGCCTGCATTCCTTTTAATCCCTAAAAGCAGTGCAAACTTTCTCTGCTCCAGGAAGGACAAGATCGTATAGAGTTTCACAATAAGTTTCGAGGCTACTTAGCAAGGAAGTATGCAACTCGATTGTACATGGCATTGATCATCCAAATGATGAAGGAAGATTTAAGCCACCTCCGTGTTTGATAGTCGCTAGGTGGGAGTGTAGGAGTGAAAAGTAGGACTAAGTACTAGATATCCCAAACCTAATTCCCCATTGGTTGCGCTGACATTATACACACACACTCGATTTTCTTGTATATATGCGCCTCCCTCCTCTTGCTCCAGACCGGATGATGCTCCGTCAATGGGATGTCAACGTAAGCTTACTTTCGGACTCTGGTTACCAGACTCCGTCAAAATGAAAATCTGTCAAAAAGGTTAAGATTTTATCGGTGCTTACAAGCCTTTTATGTACCTTTTACGAGAAGAAATGACTGTGAAGTGGTGATTGCTGAAGCGTTCCGAGTCTTTTCCAAAGACCAAAGAAGGGATAACGCCATTGTCAATATGTGGAAGGACTGAAAGGCTGCCAAACTGATTTGAAGGTTGTGCTATCTATTAGAAGTATAAAGATCGAGTCATCGGTATTTGTGCGACCACGGCGAAGACGTAAGGGAGTAGTGGAAATGCTGAACACTTACAAACCATTTGCGTTAGTTGTTGAAGTTGTGTGCAACTGAGGTAATCCCATTGCGTCCGTAGTGCGAAACTTAAGTGAAACTGTGTTGGAAGAAAGGGAATGTTAAGGCTATCTCATTCATCATCATCATCATCATCCCCACCACATGCTCTTACAGCCCAAAAATGTTCCAAAAGCACTGACATAAGTAGTGACCCTGAGGTTATGCAGCCCCGTAAAAGTACAAAGGTGCCGTCTTCAATGTCCTCAAGACCAAAATGAAGATCTGATCAAATAATCCTAATACTGCTAATAAATCGAATTCTACAGTGCATCCTAAATTATTCAGACCACGAGGCTAATTTACTGCTTACATTTGATACGAGATGTTCATAATTAACTCATATTTCATGCTTTAGGAAGATTTGGGTCATTTTGGAGTTAATATATTGTTACGTTTGTTAAGACTCTAAAAAACAAACCTGCACTACCATCGACAGTGCAGTATTTTTTGCCTGTCCACTGTTTATACGTCATTATCCATGCACCGTCTAGTGTAGGCTTCTCTACGATAACCATTATGATGACCTTCTTCAAGTAAGGCAAAATTAATGATAAACTAGAGTCTGACATTTACGTATTCGGCTGGAGACTTTCTTGTGCTATCTTGTCTGATTCATTCTTCACTTCTTCCCTTTCAGATGACTACCGAGCAATGGCCCATCTGATTATTACCTACCGTCGCCTTGGTCAGTTGTCAACAGCGGAGGAGTACTTGCACAAAGTTCTGAAGGAGCAATCCTTTGCCAAGTCTGATCCTCGATTTGCCTACGTTCAAGGATTCTACTATTGGTAAGCAAAGGACCACCCTTTTTACAGCTCCCTTAGTATAGGGTTTGCAGACATCTTTCTTTGCTTAGACATCGAAACGCTTGCGGGTTTTATGATGATAGGTTTGAGAGAGGCCAGTGTTTGCATGCAGCTGCTTTATGCAGATCACATCCCAATATTTCGATCCAGAAGGGGAATTTTCAGCATATTTCGCAGTGTTTCTTGAAACCTTGTGGACGTTATCTGACCGGAACTGAAATCTTAAGCGACTTTAAAGGAGGAGGAAGCTGCGCAGAGCAAAGTTGCAATCTTAATGGTAAACATCATATGAGAAGGAAATGGGGACACAATAACGATGAAAAATAACCGGAAGTCGTTCACTGAGAAATAATAAAAGGAGCTTTTGTGAGATTTATATCTGAAAGCTCGGCTTGCCTACCCATTCTAGTGCCCCCAAAATGAAGTAAAATGCATAATTATTGGTTTCGTGCCACTTCCAAATGCTGAAATTGGCGAGTTAACGACCTGCTACAGCCTTGAATAAAATGATGCCATATGTTAAATCGACTTATCAAAAAACTTTTAGAAGAAAATGCACTGAAGCTTAGGCCTGTTGAAATGTCGTTTATTCCCAACCATTCCCGTCCTTCTGTAAACCCACCTCATATCGGTAAATGCTGACGCAATTTTAACTAGGCTTGATTGCGTATTCCCACAAAAGTTCCAGACCGTAGTTAAGTTCGAGTTTCGAGGACCACCTTGCAGTCGTGTTTAACGTTGTGGATATGCGATAGGTGGGAAGGGCGTGGAGTGGAGGCCACGAAGTTAGGCTGTAGTGTCCATCGAGCTGCCTGTCATCACTCAGTTTTACTTGACGTAGCGGACAGATGGTTGACAAAGGATGGTGTGGCGACTAATTGACAGACTGACTCGTAAGGCTAGAACAACGTGTATGCATGCATGTATGTGTGTGTGTGTATGCGGTGGACTGTAGACACAACTGTGTGTTAGTAGTTGGTCGTTTGTAGAAAGTCACAAATTAATTGCGCCTGATTTTCGACTACCTAACACAGCATATTACATGTGAAAGGTGCAAAGGGAGGACAAACTGCTTCATGATAAACAACCATGACTTGAACCAGTACGACAACAAATATTTTGCCACGTAATGCACATCAAAGCCCATACCGCATGCCTCCTCGCTTTTACCGCATTCAGTGGGCAAATGCTGATGTGCTAAATGCTTAGGCTAGTGAGAAGTTGGAAGGAAACGCTGTGTTTTTCCTGATACTAGTTACATAAGTTCCAAATTAAGGCATCATTGTTAGCCAATCGCAACTACTTTACTTAAGTGATGTAGAGTTGACGGTGGAGACAAGAGCGGGAAAACGATGGACGTGTTAGAGTAGTTTTATAAATCTGTCTAATGTCATTGACCTTAATAAAGCATCGGTTCACTTCTCAGGACCACTTAAAATGACGACGCCAGATCAAATATGCCAATAATCTGCATATTTTTTAAGTTGTTTATGGACCCAGGCATTTATTTACATGTTTTGCTCCATATGCTGCTTATAGCGGGCCAATGAATCTAACAGGCAGGCTAACATCCACCCTGCATCCTCGACTGAAAGTGAGTTGGATGGCACTTAGACCATCGCATTAGCATAGAACCTAAGGAGCACTTAGACAAAGAAGTGGAAACAACTTGGATGAGATTTACCAACTGTCACACCCTAAGTAACTGAAAGGAGGCGTTCTCAAATGTATTTTAGTTGAACAGAGTGATGAAATACATGTCATATGATTATTTAATCAGTCAACATAGGAGCGTATGGATAGGCGAGCGCTTACTTCACCTCCAGCACATGTTTTTGAAAAGGTGACACATGAAGCAATGGTTTTGCCTTGAAATAGCAGAAAGAGACGATTTTGTAAACGGCACCTTCGCCTTTGCAGGTTCAGAGGCGACAATAATCTTGCAATTCGCAGTTTCAATGTGGCTCGTTTGGCTAGAGACTACGAGGTGGATGCGTTATGCGCAATGGTGGAGATATGTCTCTCGCCATCATTGTATCGCATCTTTCCCTCCTCTGCTACTACCACCACCTGTGTGGATAGTGACGTGCGTTCAGTTAGACCTGCAGCGACTGCAAACACCACAACAGGTGGTGTGGAAGTCGGTGAAGAGACGTCCACCGCTAGGTACAGCGATGTCATGGCCGATGGTCGACCCAGTGGCAATGCAGATGCTAAGGATATCGAAGCTACGGCCTACGAGACGGCAGCTTTGCTGCTAATGGTGGGGTTTTTGAGAGAGTGGACTTCTTTTCCTTACTTTTCATGATGGTAACTTCTACAAGGCATTAAGTTGAAAGGCAATCATATTTTCTGCTCTCTGGTTACCTTTAGTTTGGAGACCAAATTCGAAGTGATCCAAAACTCATCATCATCCTGTCACGTATTCCTTGTTTTGGCTTTTAGCTTCTGCCTTAGAGCTGCATGTGATATTCATCGTGTGTCGGCTGTCAAAAAATGATTTCCTAACAATATACGTGGGTTTGCGAATCGGTTATAGTAGAGCTTTTTGTTAGTTCTAATAGATCAGTCTAGTTTTGTTTGATCGTAGACTGTGCTACAAGAATCAATTCGAATGTGCCAATTTTTAAAACTAAGGAATAGCTACAAGGCTTTACATCACTGTGGATACAATCGAGGCACCTGCTCAGAACATTTTTTTCTTTTATAACAAGTAGTGCTGTTGGATTTCGAAATTGTTCTATAAGGATATTGTAAATGGGTTTTACTATGGACAAATTGGTGCTCTTGAGAACAGATTTTGCATCGTTGCTCGTCATGGTACTCCTCTGTTCTACGTCTATGCTGATGAAACCTCTTCTGCTAAGACCACTTGGCCTACCAATGCCCAGACATTCGTCACAGTGGAGACTGAGACAGTAAAGTCCTTTATGAAGTCTTAGTGACATCATGCATTTAATGACATATTGTCATTGGCAAAGGTTCATGGTACCTTCGTAGAGTGAATTGACAACACGGATTCAGCGATAGTCTAAGCCTCATTGTCTATAATGCCGAACCGTATTGGATACATGATGTTGTTGGAGGGCTTTCCCTTTTTTGGTGTTCTCTTCACATTCTGTCTCGTTGCGTTCCCCTTGACAGGTCAACATTGTGGAGACAATTTGGAAGAGCTAGTGACCGTTGTAGAGTGCTGAAGATGCACAAGCGGTGTAGTGACCTGAGCCTCAAACACTACCAACGTATCCACTTCATTGTCGACATGAACGAAGTCTGGTCAAGGCTTTGCGAGTGTTGTGTTCCCCTTTAAGTAGTAGTAGTTACCAATGCAAGGTGATTGCATTTATTAACCTCATTTAACGAGGCAGACCTCTTGTTCTTCCATTGTAGAAATTGAGGTCGTGTCAAATGCAATACCCCAGGATGCATCGGTTTCTGTACAATCTTCATATGGCTGTGTCCCGTGATAGGGTGAAAGTGGAGAAGGCTCTTCAAAACTTTGCTGAGATGAATGAAGAGGTAGGTGAATCTGAACTTCTCTTAAGATGTTTAAAAATAAGACTTCATTAAGGATTCCTTTAGTGGCAAACCGCTTAACTTTAACAGCCATTAATTGTTGTACGTAATTAGCTTTGACTAGTCAAGTTGGGACACCTCTTTATTGGGCATGGCCAAGCAGAAAGGAGGCGTGAAAGACTAGACCACCTCAAAATGTTAGAAGGTTTACTATAATAGTGAGGTTGGATCACGTCTACTCCTCTAGGAGTAGAAAGGCGCTAGCAAATGGAACTGTAGGCAATACACCAATTTCCATCCACCATCAATGAATTTTTGAATGATGTCATATTCATTAAAGGAGGCTTTAAATCCCAACTACAGCAGTTAGTATCGATGTAGTGGAATGCTTTTTGCGCCAAATAGATTTTTTTGCTGACTGTTATTGTGTGCACATAGCGACCAAATTTTACCATAAAGAGGGCAATTTACTTGCATTCTAGTGCGAGAGCGTTCCAGCCGTGTACGGTGCAGCTGTTTGCTACCTCCTACTGGGTCAAGATCAGAAGGCAAAAAATCAACTTAAACGTCTGGCCAAGTACGCATGGACTCCAGAGGTAGGTAATTTCCGTCCTAACTACCCCAATTGCTAAGGAGACCTTTTGGTAGAAGAAAGTAGGAAGGGAAGGAAAGGAGAATCGATTCTACCACCAGGAAATACCTGTTCAACCTATTTCAACTTGTCCAAAAGTTTAACCTTTAAGTCACTTGTCAAATAGACCACCTTGATTTACGATAGAGCAACTTCACAATGAACATGGTGGGTTTGTAGTGAATTAGAAGCCGGTGATACTAGATCTGATTTTCTATTTTACTTGGGACTCCAGAGAACCTCGAAAATGCATTGAGAGGAGTTAGGCAATAATTACGATAAATTTGCTTCCAACAGTTGCCCTTGCATCGAAACCATCCAATAAGAAGCGAATGTCAATGGAATAAATCATTTTACGAAGTTGATGAGTGCCTGAACCTCCATGCTTCACGATGAGGAAGATTTGAATATTGCAGTCGTGTTTAACGTTGTGGATATGCGATAGGTGGGAAGGGCGTGGAGTGGAGACCACGAAGTTAGGCTGTAGTGTCCATCGAGCTGCCTGTCATCACTCAGTTTTACTTGACGTAGCGGACAGATGGTTGACAAAGGATGGTGTGGCGACTAATTGACAGACTGACTCGTAAGGCTAGAACAACGTGTATGCATGCATGTATGTGTGTGTGTGTATGCGGTGGACTGTAGACACAACTGTGTGTTAGTAGTTGGTCGTTTGTAGAAAGTCACAAATTAATTGCGCCTGATTTTCGACTACCTAACACAGCATATTACATGTGAAAGGTGCAAAGGGAGGACCACTACTGGAGTGGGTAAAACTCTTTATTGCCCAAAGCTAACACATATTAACCCAGTACAATCGCATGAAGTACAATACATAGCAAAATCTGTCAACTTTGTCTTAAATCTCATACAATCGTAATGCTTTGGCACGCAAACTTAGCACTTGAGAATGTGGTGGCGTAGGCTGATGAAGGATGATCGGAAGATGCAGCTACCCTCAATAGGACCAATCTCAGTGCCAGTCTCGTTCTAGACACCGCCATCAGCATCATTACTGGCCAACCACATGATTGGAGGGGGAGAGGTGAGGAAGGCGGGGGGTAAGAAAGCCAGAAATAGACAATCGGGAGTCACATCATTTCCCATTCTCAAGAGCCAAAGCTCTTTTGGGAAAACAGAATTCTCAAGTAACTTTTGCCTCGATGAGTGGTTGTGGGTTAATCATGCTCTGTTAAGTTGGCAATATATCTTTTCTTTTGCTTTACTGAATACTTTTTGCATTACCTCATATCTACTTTCGGGGATTGTTTATCACTCCTTCACCTGTCACAACGATTTGTCTATCAACCTCTTTTCAGTTCTAGGAACAGGGGTATGAGTTCCAGCAAGTTAAAACGACTTAAATTTAATTTTGCTTTCCAATAAGCCTATATTGCGATTTCCTTTCATTGCGTCATTGTGTCTTCTTGTAAATATCTGAAGATCTTTTTGTGACTAGAGGCACGATTTTACGAGCTACTTTTACCAGCAAAGAGCAATTTTTTAGTAAGGTGTGTCACAACCGAACGCTGTGCTCTATTCAGTTTAAGTGGTTGTTATTGTTGCTGTTTAAGCCACGCCACGTTCATGGTGACATTTGTAAGGACGTTCAGTTTCTGACCAACCAGATGGAAAAAATAGCTGTAAAAATAGAAGTAAACGCTAAATATGGTTCAGTTAAAGGTATTAGAAGGTGAAAAGTTTAAACATATGGACTGCTTAATTATTATCTCAAGTTGAATGGAGAATTTTTTGCGCAGAAATTGTAATGGAGTCGTAACTTGACAGTCAAATGGAGTTGTTCTAACAGTCACTTGTAAATGGGCGCCCGCCTCCTATTCCACTCTACACAAAAGGGAGATCAAGGAAAAATTGAATGTGGCCGCCATTGCAGTTGTGGCAATCAATCTGCCCCTTCTACCATCAAAACATGAAGGTCCTGAAGGAAGAAATCATTTTTCATACGAAACGTAAAAAGGCACTACTGACCAATCCAATATTTCCTCCCCAATGCTTGGCCTCTTAAATGGGGATTGGCGGAGCGCCTAAGTATGTGCAACACCTCTGCACCAATAATGCCCAAGCAGCAGTCCTCTGTAGTGCCAATGGTCTCCCTCTGCAACTATTCACACCGATTTATAGACGAAGGAGTCAATAAATTGCCATCACATCACCTACCAACAGTTATTACAGCACTTTAGGCAATAAAATAGTCACATTTTTTGCATTTAGTTTTTTGGAGAAGAGCATAAAAGTCAACTTTGTAAAGTAAATAACTCCCTGGACTTTTGTATACGTGTGTGTGTATGTGTGCATAATATGGTGTCGATTTCTTCAATTCTGTTTACTGGTTTCACTGAGCCTTGTCAATGTCTCTTTGGCCCTTCTCCACGTCAGCAGTACACGGTCTTCCCAATTATTGTGCCTCTATAACCTTCACATATCCATTCCCTATAGCTGTAACTTCCCGTTTGTGTGTAAAATGGGAATTCGAATGTGGGGTGGGTATTTGGACTTCATTTGGATCTCTTATGTGGGACTAAGTTCGATGGCATTGCGATGTCACCTGCAATTTTTGTATGGTTTTGGCAAACTACTAACTGCATTTAAGCGTCCAATGAATTTATTGCAGAATTGTCATAGTTTGAGGTGCGATAAAAAAGGTACATGGGTAGAATGAAATATTCTCGAACGCCTCACAATACTCTGATTAAATTCAAAATTGCTGCTTTGAATAAAAATGCCCAAATATATCTTCTCTTTAGGATGCACCCTTTTTGGAGCGTTCGTGGTTGTTACTTGCAGACATCTACATTGGCATGGATAAACGTGATATGGCGATGGACATGCTGAAGCGGTGTATACAATACAATAAGGTAAATTTAAGAGTGAAGTAACTTTAAAGCTGTGATGTCAGTACCTCATACAATTATGCAGTCCAAATTACCTGCTAGTTTTGGGATCAGGCAATGGGACTTGCTTTGACTGCAGACACAGACATCAAATTGTTATGCATTAGTAGACTTTTAGTGCACATGTACGAGAAGGCAAATAATTTCAGGTGGGGGGTGGGGGAGAGGCGAGGGAGATCGTAACCTCTTCAAAGGCAAGACTAATAGTCTTTGTATGTTAGCTCTTTGAAATTGCCCCGGCATCTGCAAAGGTGTACGCCCATGGTTAGGCCCCACTTGTGTACGCACTTCGTATTGAAGGAGGCGAGATGATTGGTTTGTTGGTCTCTCTCCCTCTGCCTCTCTCGTCATACTTTCGGGGCATTTGGCAACAATTTACACAACCGCTTTTGGGGTTTTGCTTGCCATGGGGTTGCTAAGAAGAGCGTTCTAGTGCAACCAATTTCGTGTTACGGTGCGGTCAGTAGACACATGTAACTGGCGAATATCAAACTAGTCTAACAGACTACCGGAGCTGTAAGCGCTCCCATGAACTAATGAAACTTATTGGTTAGACTTGGGAGAAAATTATATTTATAAAGAGTTTATTAACAGGAGGAGAATGGGACTATGGATTGAGCCATGTCTCTTACTAGTGCACAACAATAAAGCCCTTTATTCGGGCTTTTTCCTCCTTCCAGTCATGTTATCGAGCCTACGAATTTATGGGATTGATAGCGGAAAAAAGCAACTCTTATGAGGATGCCGCGACGCACTACAACACGGCATGGGAAATTCTCAATAAGCAGGATCTGGGTGTTGGTAAGCCAGAGAGGTTAAATTATAGATGGCGAAATACGCATTTCGACTTCGAACTAACAGATTAAGCTCGTCATTCCTCTATGAGACATGCATAAGCAGACCCTTTAGGTATATATTATAAAAGGAGTTATACTACTTACAGAAACAAATAAGTAGGTGAAATCGGAGCTATTAAAGACAGTTTTGCTCAAATGATAATCGTGTAGCTGCCAATGTTTGCAGTCATGGCAATGCATCGATTATCTTAAATGCGTGTCTATCCCTGTATGTACTTTTTGTGCCTGTATTTATCTCCCTCCCCAAAAGCCTCCACTTTGAAGTAAAGCGTGTAGACGGCAAAAAAGAGCTCTCTTTGAACTGAGTTAAAGTTTGGTTTATACTAAAAGAAAGAGAGGTACTATGCTCAAAAAAACTGGATTTTGTGTTCCAGTGGTTGAATTTGGTTCCATCTTGATGGTGTTGCATTTAAGTTGTGCAAATAAAGCATAAGATTTATTGTTACCGTGTGGGAGGCTGCAGGCATCCCTCAAAGGTCATGCCGCCAAGGGGTAAGCAAAAATCAACAAGAGTGAATGAGGTGCGGTCCAATCCTCATCGCAAAAACAGGAGGGGTCAAAGTTGCACTACATGCTGCTAAAGTCAGAGATTTAACTTTTCAAAAGTGAATGATAAAATTTTCAAGCTTGACAGCTTAAATAACTTGATTACCGTAGTGAAAGGCTGTTCTTTCTACTATTCGACAGGCTTTTTGTACAGTACTGCTCCCAACAATGCTTGTTAAAGTTCAATTTGTGTCATTGGAAGGAAGTCCAGATTTAAACACATCCAATGAGAAATATTAAGGTGCTTGTTAATCCTAAAGTTTATTATTTTTGAAGGTTACAAGCTAGCTCTGAGCTACTTGAAGGCCAAGGATTACTTCCGAACTGTCGATGTCTGCCATGAGGTAGGTGTGCAAGTGTGTGGGTGTGTATGCTATATATGGCAATTTTTGGCTAAATCGAATGGCACTAAAGCTTGCATTGTTTTGGAGGTGATGATTTAGGTGATTTGCCCTTTAACACCTCGAAAAATATTCCAAATTTTAGGTCCTCTGCATTGCCCCAAATCATCCACACATTCAGAAGAACATCCTACGGAGGGCTCTTGATGCAATGCGCACTTGACGCTAAATGGCACTGTCCACTCAGACAACTCCGACCTAATTTAAACCGTTCATCTTTCCTTTTTTCACTTAATAAAAGTTTTAATGCGTATAAAAAGCGTGTAAATGCATTTTCTATGCAAACATACTACTCATGGATAATAATCGGCTATAAGTAACATGGAGGTATTCAAAATGAAAAGGAAACACAAAATTCCTCCTAATAAATGATTATTTTTCTAAAATTGCTAACACTTTAGGGGAATGGAAGATGTTTTTACTGAGGAGTAAAGTGCAGATTGCTATCCCCAAAAGCCAGCCCTCTGACGTCTGTTAAATTTACAACTTTACCCTATTCTTGCCTAAAGGGATCGAAAATCTTTCAGCATAATTACACGCTCGTTACTTTCTCCTTTGGAAAGATTGTGTGCATGAATTTTACTCAATTTTTTTGTTTAAGAATTTTATCGTTAAATGATACACTTTTAAACACATTTCACTGCGGCACAATCTCGGACGACGTAACCCATTATCCCACCTCTCCCACATGTTTTTTCAGCAAATTTTATGTGAACTAACAAAACATCTTCACGCACAAAATCGGTGGACATAAAACTACATTTGTCAGGCTGACTCTATTGATATTGTAGGTTTGGTATCTGAGTTGAGCGTTTTACGCATTTCTACTCCAACATGAACAAAGCAAGAGAGCATCCAATTTCATGCAGACAATTTACGAAGGAGTAATAAAATTGCCAATCTTGCAATCATTTGCATCCGCCTTCCACTTCTAAAAAAAGGGGATCTAGAGAGGAATGGGCAGTGAGGCGAGGGACATTTTGTGCCTGGTCGCAGTGGAAGGACGCGACAGCATCGACAGTCGTGCCCTCGCCCAAGTACTGCCTCCTCGAGGCACACTACATGTTTGCTGCGCTAGGCAAGAATTCCACAAGTTTTATTTACCTGGATATGAAAGTCTGGTTATGCAATGAGGGGAAATAATTGATGCTTAATTTAATGTCTGTTGCCATGCAGTGTAGTCAAGTTCTTCTGAACTGCAAGTTATTTTGAAACTGGTAGTTCTTGTGTCTTTTTAACATGCACTGTGGTTGCATAACTTCATTTGTGTTGTGAATTAGCACGCCTTTATATCGTTCATCTCGAATGACATTTTTGTTTGCCTCATCCTTCACCACCATAACCAGGGCATTGAATGTCGATTTATGTTTATTCAGACTTAAGTTGGTCACTTTTAAAGGAGCTTGCGGCATGCATTGTGATAACACTCAAATGCCCTTTTGTCGACGCGTTCTCTTGCGAGACAGGAAGGACCGCATAGAACCACTCGAACGTTGTGTGAAGTCGCCAAATTTCAACACTTGAATACTGATACTTCGAGATAGGATGGTGGGGAGTGGAATTAAGCCTCCGTCTTCAAACACAATGCTAAGCATCTTCTCACTACGGCTGTGTATCACACTTCTGCGTGAAGAGCGACACCTTTTCTTATCTGGGCAATACTGGAAATTGTAGATGGTAGGTTTGTGGACATTGAAGATGAAGCATTGTCAACAAGGGAAGAGTTCAACTTCCACTCCCCTACTCCACACAAGATTGCAAAAGGTCAACACCTTTATGGTGCTTTTCGTGCTGCCTGATTCTTATCTTTGAAACGGGACGATTTGCAATTGCGGTAGGTACTGGCACCTTGATACAGAATTAATCCTCTTCTGTCAACAAAGTTTTATTCCAAGCAGAGATTTTGATATTCTTAGGAGGCTATTTTAGCCTTTTACGGTAATTCTTTCCACCCCTTGGACGCTGAAGGCCAAGCCGGGTTAGGGGGCATGGCCGAAATGGGCACAAAGTACACACCCACCTGCAAGATGAAGTCCTCCTGTATAAAGTGCTTTTCAAAGTGAAGAAAAACTCATTTGCCTTGGGGATGGGTATCAATATTTCTGGGTCAGGATAAATGACCTTTGACCATGCCAAACAGCCAGCCTCGGTCTTTCATCCTCCCTATGAGTCAGCTTTGCACGAAAACATGACCGTGGGAAAATAGGTGGTCAGTTCTTCTAAGTCAGTGATTGCATGTAATTAACACGGTGGGGCTAGGAGACCTCGACCCCCTTAAAATGTTTACATGTTCACAAGTTGAAGCATGGAACCATGGTGGAATTACTTGTGTCTCACTTCTTTGAAGACAACCGCCTCTGTACTAACCACGAATTCTTTGATGCTACCTCCTTGCTTGACTTGTACGAATGATGGGAAAGCGTGCCAGTTCGTCCATCCACATAGCGTTATTGTTAGAGCTGTCCGTCATTTTTTGACTGAATTTAATGCATTAGGCGGGTGAAATTCTCTCGTCTGTCCGCTTTGGAGGGTTTACGCAACTGCAGGGATTCCTTAAATGTTGGGGAGAATTTGGCTCTGAATGCGTATCAGATGGGAAGGACCAAGTTTGTTTAAATCCACATCAATTACGATGCAAAATTATGGAAGCCAAAAGGCTAGGCAGAATGGACCACCTACAAGCCATTCATTAGCAGCATGTGACCTCAACACATGCAGACCATCAATTTCTTCTCCACTTCTTTTGCATGCATGAGTTGTACAATCGAGATAGGCATTTTAGTTTTTTCAACCACAATTGGCTTTTGCCTTAAAAATGCCTAATTTTACCCTCATGGCACACCTTTATCCATCATCCTACACTTTCAAGGTGTGCATTATTGCATCCGCCAATCTTTGCTTGTCGGTGTGTAGATTAGCAAATTCTAGTCTTGACTGGAAGAACAGTCTACATTATTCTTTCCGTCCTCGCCCTGTCATAGCAAAGGTACACGAGAGGCAGGCAGGTCAACTTCGCGCAGTCAGCAAACTTGGAAGCCGGAAGATTGACGTTTTAGTGTAAGTCGGTAAAGTTGGTAAAGGAATAGAGAGAGATGTTGCTTTGTCTCTCCGGCTAACCTCAACTCCACGTTCATTCTTACTCTTGTCCAGTGTGGGCCCCTCAAAGTTTGAAGCACCGAGCTTCACATCCTCTTGGCATTACTCTCAGCATTTGTAAAACCCGTAATTGCGTACAAAAATGATTGAGTGATTGAGGAACAATTATAAAATCAAAAGAGACTTGCCATCAATTTTATTGTCCTGCGTTTTTTTTGGGGGGTGGGGTGGGGTGGGGGGAGGGGATGGACTGATGTGCAAAGCGAAGGTCGCGTTTGTAATACTTTGTTTATTCGGATGCCCGTGTAATTGCCGACCAATTTGGGCGACCAAATTGCTTCT